AGGGTGTGTCCAGCCCGTCTTGCCTAGTCCAGCCCCGTTGGCCACCTTCTAATTCATTTACTTTCAATGTGCGTGAATCTGTGCACTGGGCCTCTAGTTCTTTATAATTTATGCCAGCAACAACTGATGTGGTGTGCACAAGAATTTTTAAAACATGCAATACCTGACTGTTTAGTCAGGGACACTGACCTCTTTTCCCTTAGATTGTCAAATTAAAAAATGACAACAGCTAACACAATAATAGACATCCAGTGTGAACAAATAAAAATTATATCTACTTTTTGTCAGACTGGCAAAGAATAAAATTTTGGTGTGCTGCAGAATTTTAGTAATTAGTTTTTGTGTGCCATGAGATGAAAAAGGTTGAAAATCACTGATATATGCCCTTGATAAAGAGAGAATTTTATAAAACACGTAATACTTGAGATAATAGCTCTTTGGAACAGTAATATATCATAATTAGAAAACTCTTACAGGGCAGCGTACATTTTATCTAAGAAGCTCAAAGCATTTTTATTAGCCAAACTCAACAAATTCAGGGATGTTAGAGATATCTAAAGCAGAACAGAAGAGTAAGAAAAGAATAAACTGGATTCTCAGTTCCTTCAACGATTTCAATCAATCCCTATGTTAAATAAATCTCACTGAAGTCATCATACCCTTTTTTTCTCCTTTCCAGTAGAGAAAGACAGCTATCCTACAAAGAGGCTGAATGGTGTCATGATTAAGGGCTCAGCCTCTGCAGCCAGGTAATCGGGGTTCAAACCCTGGCCCTCCTGTATGTCATTGGGAAAGTAACTCAACCGCTCTGAGCCTGTTTTCTCACCTGTAAAATGGGGGTAATGACAGCTACTATTCATAGGGTTGTTAGGACAGTATATGTTGGGCTGTTAGAAAACAGCATTTGGCACCTAGGAATCACTCATTGGTGATCGTTAGTTTCATTTCATAAAGGCAATGCTTTATAATAAATGTAGAACAGTAAGATAGGCTCCTAACATTTTAGGACTAACAACTACTCTGGCCTCCTTGCTATTCTTCAAACATGCCAGACACACTCCTCACTCAGAGCCTTTCCACGGCTTAGTCCCTCTGCCTGGAATGTACACTGTGGACGCCTTCGCCTCCTCAAATGTCACCTTCTCAATGAGGCCTACCTTGATCGCCACCTTACTGAAAATTGCAACCCATTTTCCTCCTTACCCTGCTCTAAATTTCCCCTGATGGCTTTGTACTGTATTACATAATTTATTTTTATTATGGTAATTGAGTCTTCCCTGGATTAGGCAACAAAACTCAGTGACAGAAAGCAGTTTTGTTTTTTATTAACTGACATATCCCAAGTTGGTGCTCAAGTAATTGTTGTTATCATCATCGGATCTCATCCCTTCACTTTACAGATAAGGAAAACCCAAAGAGACTTGGGTCAAGGCCACTCAGGAAGGAAAAGAGCCAAAAGAGGGACTGTGACTCCCAGTTCAGTGCCATTTCTACTACAGCTCACTATCTCCCTGACCCTGGAACATTACAGAAAAATCACAATCACCCACTATCTTCTCCCAGGAGGATTTACCTTTGGAAATTCTTGGCTTTGCAAATGCTGCTGTATCTGTTAACAGGAAAATGCTCTGAAAGGCAGTGGAAGCCTGTACTGGGAGACCAAGTGGTGACAGATGAACAGAAGAAGATGGCCAATTTGGAAGGGCTATCCCAGCACTTTGATAGAGGGTCTGCTGTTGTAATTGTGTTTCTGATGACCCAGAAACAAGTGCTGAGCTAGAAGCTGGCTGCCACCGTGGCTGGACAGCAGGCCACTGCCGAGTCCATGCTGGCTGGTGCCGTGCTAGGTGTTTCTGCAGGGGAAAAGTCAAGGCTGCTCTAAAGGTTGTATTACATGTTGTCCCACTGCTGCTGGTTGCAACTGTCCTTGCAAAGGACATGTAATCTAGACTGTGTTTGGAATGGTCCTTGGAATACCTAATAATGGTTGACCTTGGTTAGGTGCCTGAGATTGAGGTACCTGCTGTGGAAAAACAGCATGCTGGCTACGCAAAGAATGCTGCTGCTGCCCTAGCTGGTTTGGCTCAGTGGATAGAGTGTCGGACTGCAGACTGAAGGGTCCCAGGTTCGATTCCGGTCAAGGGCACATGCTGGGCACATGCCCAGGTTGTGGGCTCAATCCCCAGTTGGGGGCGTGCAGGAGCCAGCCGATCAATGATTCTCTCTCATCATTGATGTTTCTATCTCTCTCTCCCTCTCCCTTCCTCTCTGAAATCAATAGAAATATATTTTAAAAACTGGGTGTGAGGATTAAATAGGCAACATTCTTTTTTTAAAAAAAGAATGCTGCTGCAGATGTGACCTTCTTGAGTAGACTGCTGATGGCTTTTGTGTATTTGTCTATGAGATGAATGAATGAACTGCTGATGCTGAATGAAAGCTGAGTGAGAAACCTGGCTTGGTGCTAGATGTGAGGCAGAAAGCTGTGCAGAGAAGTACAGGGCTGGATGTGGGCCAGTGCCAGTGAGGAGGCCTGCTGAACATCTACACAGGGTGTTGAAACTGTCCTTCTACGGCCCTCTGAGATGGAATGCTAGTTGACTGGGCTTTTAGCTGCTGGTGTCCAAAATTGACATCTATCTGGGATGGAGCTTCTGAATGCTGGACACTAAATAAAGGCTCAGTAGAAAGTGTCTGTGGCCTAGCCAGTGTGCTCAGTGGTTGAGCATCGATCTATGAACCAGAAAATCACAGTTCGATTCCTAGTCAGGGCACATGCTGGGGCTGTGGGCTCGATCCCCAGTGGAGGGTGTGAAGGAGGCAGCCAATCAGTGATTCTCTCTCATCAATGGTGCTTCTCTCTCTCTCTCTCTCTCTCTCTCTTCCTTCCTCCCTTCCTCCCTGCCTCCCTCCCTCCCTCCCTCTCTAAAATCAAATATATATATCACACACACACGGCTAATATGACACACACACACACACACACACACACACACGGCTAATATGCTAAGTGTCCAACTGACCGGTTGCTATGACGCTCACTGACTACCAGGGGGCAGACGCTCAACACAGGAGCTGCCAAGCTGCAGTGACTTGGCAGCAGCGGTTCTTGAGTGATGCACCCTGAAACCAGAGAAGAGGGAGCCCAATTCCTCACTGGGGGCCACGTGATTCCACTTTCAGCCATGGGTTATGTTGTTGCTGGGGCACTGTCAGCCCCAAATCTGGTTTACTGCACACTTGCGTTTGCGTTCCACACCCTGTACGACAACAACTTTGCAGAGTGCCCTCTCACACTCCAGGACCACTCAGGAGATGTCAGAGAGCCAACACATTGACCACCAGGGGGCAGACGCTCAATGCAGGAGCTGCCCCCTGGTGGTCAGTGTGCTCCCACAGGGGGAGCTCTGCTCAGCCACAAGCCAGGCTGATGGTTGCCAGTACAGCGGTGGTGGTGGGAGCCTCTCCTGCCTCCTCCGCAGTGGTATCCGACTGCAGCTAGGCCTGCTCCCTGCTGGCAAGTGGACATCCCCTGAGGGCTCCCGGGCTGCCAGAGGGATGTCTGACTGACAACTTAGGCCCAATACCCCAAGGGTCCCTAAGCCAGCAGGAGGTCATCCCCCGAGGGATCCCAGACTGCGAGAGGGCACAGGCTGGGCTGAGGGACCCTCCCGCGTGCACAAATTTTTGTGTACCGGGCCTCTAGTATATATATAAAAGAATATGTCTGTGTATCTATGGTTGATGTTAAATGTCTTTTGCTGAAGAATTATTACCTTAAGGTTGTGTTAAATAGGCTGGTTGTTCAGATGTCTGTGCTACATAAATAAGGTGGTACTGAGTACAACTTCTGACCTGCAGTTTGTAATATGTGTTTTCTTGCTATTAGAAGGGTTTCCAGTGTATACATGCTGGGTTATAAAGGTTGCCTGTTCAGTTGTCTGGATGGTGTAATAAGTTTGTCCTGAATAAGGGGCATGCTATAGAGATAGTGCCTGGTAAGCGGGCTGTTCCATAAGTTGCACAGGGTAAGCTGCTTGGATCCTATATGCTCCCTGGTCTGGAAAAGGTGACTGAACTGGAAGTTGCACTGGAAAAGCAGGCTTCCCTTGGCCTGGGGCTGAATAAGAGGGTTGTACCAGTGGATGAGACTGGATAAGAAGTCTGCAAAGAATGAGTTGGTTGTGATCCCGATGGTTGTACAGTTTAAAGAGGATGCTCTCCGGCTGGCAGTATATAAACAGGCTGTGCTGGAGCCTGGATTGGGTAAGCTGACTATGATGGGTAATAAGCTTGTTCCGGGGATGTATCCCAAAGAGCAGCTGCTCGGGAGCCTTCAAAGGAAGAATGGAAGTTCTGTGATGGTCCTGGATAAGTGTGTTGAGAATAAGATGGCTGTTCCAGAGGCTGAATCACACTTTCAATACCACCCTGTGGCTGCCACTGACTTGCATGAGCTTCAGACTCTTGCAGAATACAACCCTGCTGAACATTTTTCTGTGGTGATGCCATAATCTTAGGTTGTCAAGCTAATGGCTGCTGCTGAATACAGGCTTGGAAAAAAGGCTTCTTCAAATGCATAATCTGATTTTGTGGCACTGAAGAACCTGGAGATATGGACTCCTGATGTGCCACTGGGTATGGCTGGCGTACTGAGTGTATCTTTTGTGAAGCCCAATGGTCCCCTGAATGGCCTTCAATGGAACCAAAAGGGAGCTGTGCTGTACTCACATACTGAGCAGAAGAATGGCTTGACAAAGCTTAAGGGTGGTTTCTTTTCCAATTATATGAGCAATGTCTCAAGATTCTAGTTATACAATGTTAGTTTAGGTGCATCATCAAGAAGAATGTCGTAGGTGAAGGAAAGCAGAAACTTTCAGCTTTCAGTGACTTTTATAAAAACCATGATGAATTTATGAAAGAGAGCCTTTGCCTAGCAGAAAATCTAGGCAGTGTTAGATATGTTTAACTGAATACAGGGCTTCTAAAATGTATCTTACCTTTGTCTGCGAGACCTTCTGGACAGTTAATGGGGACACCAGGGGTTGTGAGACTGGTGGTCCAAGGACATGTACAGGCAAAACAGTGGACTGACCTTGAGCCAAAGGCAAAATCTGGGGCTGAGCCAGCTGTGGCTGCTTCTGTAACAGTCAAATAAGAAAAAAAACAAAACCCAAAAACGATTAAAGATAAACCCTCCCATTTACAGTAAATATACTGATTATATATTTAAAAATATAACAGATCATCTTACCCCTGAAATCTGCTGGTAATGTCCTACTAGCTGCTGGGGTGGATAAATCTTCCCTGGAACATTCATTTCAGCCTGTGGGATGCTAGAAACCATTTGAGAGCCCATCATCTGGTCCGAGGAATAGCCTGTGCTGGGCTGACTTGCATCTGAGTGTGTAACTGATCCAGCTCCGGACTCGGATAAATTGTCACCTAGAACAAAGAAAATAAGCAACAGGTAGAAGTGAAAACTTGAAGCACCAGGTCCAAGTGGTATTGGAAATAGTGTTTCTTTCATTTTTTTTTATACTGACAACCTGAGACATCTTCAAATAAAATATGTACAATGCAGAGTTAATCAAAAATTCTCAGTGTAGCCCTGACTTGTTTGGCTCAGTGGATAGAGCGTCGGCCTGCGGACTGAAAGGTCCCAGGTTCGATTCCAGTCAAGGGCATGTACCTGGGTTGCGGGCACATCCCTAGTAGGAGGGTGTGCAGGAGGCAGCTGATCGATGTTTCTCTCTCATCGATGTTTCTAACTCTCTATTCCTCTCCCTTCCTCTCTGTAAAAAATCAGTAAAATATATTTAAAAAAAAAACTCTCAGTGTAAACTCTGTGCTGACATGGTAGAATGGCAAAAATTTTCTTAGTAAAGCAAAAGCTGAAAACAAAGAATCACATAAAAATCAAATCCATTTGCTGGCCATTTCATATATATCCTTAACTAACCTATACTTGTCAATAGGGTTTCAGTAAAATCTAAATGTCATATTCTTTTTTATTCTCCTAGAAGCTAGCTAGAGAATAATACTGTCATTATACGACAATTAGCTATTACTATGAAAATGCTGTATCCTTCTAGAAAAGAGAATGCATGACAATAGAAAAATTAGAGGCACTGTGTTAATTTTATACTTGAGTACAAAATACAAAGGGGCTTAAAGTTTAGAAAATTCCTTCTTAAAGAAAAAAATCATACCCTTTGGTTCCTAGTTTTCTATATTAAAGGACTTATTTTAGAACCTTAAAATGGTAGAAAGATTATAATCCTTATGCCACTACTACCTTGGGCAAGTCATATAACAAAACAGTTTCAAATAAAACTAGCTGGCTTATCTATTTCAGGGAATTTGTAAAAGGACTGATAAAATGATAGATAATACTTTGAAAAATAAAAAAGTATTATCTAAAGATAAGGGAATATAATTACACATTTATTTGCTTTTATTTTTTTACTTTTTTTCAAGGGAGAGGAAGAGAAACATCGATGTAAGCGCATAACATACCTGGGTTTCGGGCTTGATCCCTGCACACGCCCCCTACAGGGATCAAGCCCGAAACCCAGGTATGTGTCCTGACGGAATCGAACCAGCAACCTTTCGGTGCATGAGACGAGGCCAAAATAATTGAGGCACACCAGCCAGGCATTGTTTATTTTTATAAGTTATAACTATGTCACCTGTAACAGAGGAGCATTGCTGCTGTGGTTTTCTTTGTAGAAGCTGTTGTCGAACTTGTTGATCCACTTCAGTTTCTTCACATTCAGCCGCGGTGTGCTGAGCAGGAGCAGGGGGCAGAGTTGTATTCTGGGGTGGAGGGAGAACACTCCCCACAGACTTGCACTGCGAATCCCTGCGTTCTTCTAAAGAGGCAGCTGGCTTCTTCTCTCTTGTCTTCTTTATCAGGGTCACCCGGTCTCTAATGGACTTAGCAACAGCTTTGGAATCACTTTCATGGAAGAATCCTGACTTGACCTACAAACAAAACATAAACAGCAAACTATATCTTTAACATTTAACCCTGGGGATCAATGGGGTGATAGATGTTTGCAGCAAGGTCCGCCCTCACATCTAACATTTAAGATTTTAACCTTTTTTTTTAAACTAGTGGGTTATTTAGTGCCCCCAAATCGCAAATGCTATTAAATAACAGTTTCTATGTTCTTTCTTAATTAGACATAGGTAAATGTCAGAGTCTTTAATCAACAAAAGGAAGACAATACTATCACTAAGCATTGTTAAAAGAATTCTGGTCTTAAATCAAACAAGCAAATAACTTGATGTTTCAGTACATGCAGTCTTATTATAGGGTATTTATGACTGCCCTGTTTTGTGACATTAAATGGGTTTGCACACTCAGCAACATTAAGTGCCTACAATAGGCTCTAGAGACATAGAGGTGATTAAGTTGGCCCTTTGTGCTATATGAGCACACAATCTGATGCTGAGGGACAGATACAAACTTAAAATGAAATGAGGTAGAAATGAGCTGCTGTAAAAGCCCTAAAGGAACACATGCCTCTCTGGAGGAAGTAGAGAAAGTATCACAGAAGATAAACTCTGACCTGGATTAAAACAAACAAACAAAAAAAGGAACTTGGCAGGCTATTGAGTGTAGATGACGTGTACAGATCAACACTCTAGGCAGAGGGAAGTATGCTAACGGCAAAGTACTACAGCGTGCTAGGTGTTAGAGGAGTGAAGAGAAGTTAAGGACTTGCTGTCTGAGAGGACCAGGGCTGAGGAGTAGAAAAGACTTGGGGAGGTGCTATAGCTTATCATTCTCAGTCCTACAATCTGCATTTTAGAGTATGTCTTGGGAGTTTGCTGACTTGGGGAAATTTCCTGGTAGTTGAAAGATGATTAAAATGTGAGACGGAGTTCATTCATATATTTAAGTTCACTCCCTTTGAACGCTAAAAAAAAAAACACCCCCAAAACCCATAGTAAATGCATTTTTACATTATAAGCCCATAAGGACAGGGAGAATAAGAGAAAGACAACAGCAACAATAGTTGGGACTCTTTTGAATACGGAAAACAAGTAGATAATAATTGACTTAGCAAACCTAAAAGAGGTGAACTAGAGAAAGCTGAGACTCATTCCCATTCACGCTCAACACTACTCACAAGGTGCAGGGACTGGTAGTACCAGGTACTTCCAAAACTGGGTAAAATCAAAAGAGATGACTAAAATAAGGAAGACTAAGGGAAAGGGTTTTGAGAAACAGATATGTAGGATCCTGTGCCCCGCCCTCCATTCCACTCCTTTCAGTGACTGCTTCTCCCCTACCCTAGGAGTCTGCAGTTTAGTTCTCTGGACTATGGAACACCAGGCACAGTTGAGGATATGGTTTCCAAGTGGAAAACAAAAAGATTAAGCGACCATATGCATGGTGAGTACCATATGCAGAAACTTCCAGCCCTCTTCTCCACTTGGCTACCAAAATACCAGTAACCAGACCCTTACCCTCCAGGAAGGACAATGAAAGATTCCTCTCTAGGGGATCTGACCAATCCAAGAAGAAAAACCAACAAATATTGATGTCAGAGATTCCCCAATTAATGGCTCACCCAGATACCCTGTGGTAGAGGTCAAAGCTAGTAAGTCTGACACAAGCAGTCATATGGTCCCATCAGCTTGTCATGTCAGTCTCTGTGGTAGGCAAATGATGGCCCCTGGAAGATGTCCCATCCTGATCCTCAAACCCAAGCAAATGATGAGATGTCACTGTGCTAGGCACAGTTGACATGAAGGTAGGGAGATGATCTGGTTGAGCCTTTTACCAGCTGGTGACACTAAAAGGATTTAACATGCCATTGCTAACTTAAACAAGACGTGGGGGCATGTGAAAGGACTGTAAGAACTGAAAGTGGCCCCTGGCTAACAGCCAGCAAGAAAATGGGGACCATAGTCTTGCAACTGCACAGCATTACATTCTGCCAACAACCTGGATGAGCCTGGAAGCAGATTCTTTCCCAGAGCCTCCAGAGTAGAGCCTTGGTGGCCAACACCTTGACTTCAACCTGCGAAACCCCAAGCAGAGAATCCAGCGAAGCCCACTAGGACTTCTGACCTACAGAACTGAGATAATAAATGAGTGTTGTTTTAAGCCACTAAGACGTTTGTGATCATTTGTCACACAGCAATAGAAAACTAATACACTCTTCCACTATTAATCATGAACAGCCAGCAGCCAGCCAAGAATTACCAGAAATATGAGAAAAGCCTCTAACAAGAAGATGGAGCACAAAACTAACAAAGGGAAAAACCAGCACATTGGAGTAAAGAGACTATGCAGGGAGAAAAAAAATGTCAAAAGCACTCCCTTTACTAAGGTTACAGAAAGATGCGATAATATTGCATCAACACCACAAAGAACACGATTTTTACTCTAAAAAAGAAACAGACCAAAGTATAAAGGAACTCTTAAAATTAAAAACATGATAGCAGAAATGAAAAACTCAATGGAAGGGTTAGAAGATAAAGTTGATAATATCTGCCAGAAAGGAAAATAAAAAGACAAAAAGATGGAACATAGAAAAGATAAGAAAATTGGAGAAACAGTTCAAGAGGTCCGACATCCAAATAATAACAGTTCCAGAAAGAGAAAACAAGGGGGAAGAACGCATCAATAAAATACTTCAAGAAATCTCCCAGAAACTAAAGGGTATGAGTTGGACCTAGCCAGTTTGGCTCAGTGGATAGAGCGTCGGCCCTCGGACTGAAGGGTCCCGAGTTCGATTCTGGTCAAGGGCATGTACCTCGGTTGCAGGCTTGATCCCCAGCCCTGGACGGGGAGCATGCAGGAGGCAATCAATCCATGTGTCTCTCTCACATCGATGTTTCTTTCTCTGTGTCTCTCCCCCTCCCTTCCACTCTCTCTAAAAACTGATGGAAAAACATCCTCAGGTGAGGATTAACAATACATAAATAAGTTTAAAAATAAATAAATAAAGGTTATGAGTTGACAGATTGGGAGGGTCCACTGAGTATCCAAGGCAGTAAATGAAAATAGACCCAAATCAAGACACATCACTGTGAAATTTTAGAATATTGAGAATGCCAAGATATTATAAGCTTCCAAAGAGGAAAAATGGATCACGTGCAAAAGATCCAGAAAACAGAACAACTTTGCACTTCTCAATATCAATACTGAAAGCTAGAAAGCAATGACTCTTAATTTTTTTTAACTGCACAACCTAAAATGCCTTAGCCAGCCAAATAATCGGTTAAATATGAAGATAGAATAAAGACACTTTTTATATATGCAAGTCTCAAAGAATGTACCTCCCATGTACCTTTTCTTAAGACGCTAATAGAGGAAGTATGGCACCATAACAAAAGAGTAATCCACGGAAGAGAAAGAGGTGGGATTTAGGAACATGAAGTCCAATACAGGAGAAAGGCAGAGAAGTCTATGAAGACAGTGAAGGGAGATACCAGGATGAGAGCTGTGTGCCATATGTTCACAGATCATTGAACATATGGCACACATGTGTGCAATCATTCCAGATTAGAAGAGTGTGACTAGAAAGAAAGACCTGTTGTCTCCAAGATCTCCACTGTCACTGTCCCATTCTTCTTCTTTTTCTTCTTCTTTTTTTTTTTTGTTAATCCTTATCCCAGGATATTTTTTTCCATTGATTTTAATAGAGAGTGGAAGGGAGGGGGAGAGACAGAAACATCGATGTGAGAGAGACACATCTATTGGTTGCCTCCAACACACACCACGACTGTGGCCAGGGATCAAGCCTGAAACCGAGGTATGCGTGCCCTTGACCAGAAGCGGCTGACGCTCTAACCATTGAGAAACTGGCCAGGGCCCATTCTTCTTTTTAACCTGAGGACAGAATGCCCAGATGAGCCTGCCTCACAGTATCTGTACTTCACCATGACCACATGCTGCGGAATGAAGCTCCTGCAAGCCCTCCCTCCAAGCACTGCAACAGCCCAGGTTGGGGACCCAGACAACTCATTCTGGTCCACACAACAGCCACGCCGGTGCACTGACTGAGGGGAGCCACGTGTTTAGTTCCCTGGACTCCCGTGTGACCTCACCCACTGACTTCCCCAGAAGGGGCTCTTGTAACCCCTTCAGGAAGCTGAAGCCAGACAGTGACTGAGAGGTTCTGTTCAGCTCCTCCTCTCCTGGGCAGCTTCACCCAGGAGTAACTTCAGTAGCCAGTGGGGTGTGTGCTCGCCACTCAGGTTTTCAAAACAAAACCGTATGTTACTTAGGTAAACTACAATGAAAAGCAAAGGAATGAACAACACAAGAGTCAGAATAGATATTGTTGGTGGTAATGAGCGAGGGAAATGCAACCTGGAAGGGCACACAGATGGCTTCTAAGACACCAATTGTGTTCTGTATATTGTGTTCTGTATACTACCTTAACAAAGGTAGTATATTATCAGTCTTTATAGTATGTACAAATTTAATATACTCTGCTGTAGCAATACATTTCATAGTACAATATCAATTTAAACAAAGAAAAGGAGAAAATGAAAAAAGAAAGCAATGAGAAAGGAAATCAATGCTGATACTTCTAAAGGGCGGAGGAAATAGCAGTAGCATTCACTTACCATTTCATAGGCTACTTCCTCAGGGGTATCTTTTTCTAAATTGAAACTGAATTCAATAGCTTCATTGTCTTTGTGCTTGCCTTTCAATTTTTTAGGGTCTTCAACCCAGAGTCGTAAAGCCAAAGATGAATTTGAACAATCATCTTCCTCTGCTAACTCCACCCTCAGTCCTGTATCCTCAGCAAAAAATGCGTGGTTTAGTAGGTTCTTGATAGACAACCTAATAAACAAAATACATAGTTCATTATCAATCCTTCCAATCATAAACAACACATAGAACCTTTAAAATTAATTGTATCAAAGTAACAATCTATTTTAAAATTTCTATTAATTAAACTATTAATCTGCCTTGTCATAAAAACAAAATATTTTCTCTTATTATTACCAAGAATGCAAAAAAATTTCCAACTAACATGCATCTGTAGGGATCTTAATTAAAGATTATTACTAGCAACATATCTAGAAACTGAAGTTTAACATACCTAAAAGTATGCCTTAAAGAAAGTTGGAGACTGGAATCTCGGAGGGAGGGTGAATGGGAGGTAATCAACCAAGGACCCTGTATGCATTTATGCATGGCCCATGGACACAGACAACTGGGCTGTGATGGCCTGGGGCAGGTGGAGGGGGGAGGGTGAGAGGGACAGGCTGGAGGGGGTGAATGGGGGGTATATGTAATACTTTCAACAATAAAGAATTATTAAAAAGAGAGAGAGAGATTTGGAGAAGTGCTGCAGTTCATGTTACGTGAATTGAGTAGTTTCCCTAAACCACTGGCTTAGGTTATTAAAACACATTGCAGACAGATCACGCGAATTCTCGTGTTTTCATATTACACAGTGTTTTACTTTAAAAAGATAGTAGCTTGTAAGAACATGTAATAAATAACTTCAAAATGCAATGGGTATTTAATTTTAAGGCGTGCCTTTAACATTTATGTAAAACGTTTTTTGTACTCACTCAATAGAAACTTATCTGGCCACCGGGTAAAGCTAGCAATAAAACTACTGGTCCGCAATGTGTTAAGACTCAAGCAACATATTGTCTGCCAAGGAAATGAAAAACTCTTCCAGATATGTAAACTCTAAATTAAATTAGAAGTTCAAATTCTTTGCAAATGTTATAAATAGAACTTGTAGCCCTGGCCAGTGTGGCACCAAAAGATCGCTGGTTCGATTCCTGGTCAGGGCACATCCTGGGTTGCGGGCTCAATCCCCAGTAGGAGTCATGCAGGAGGCAGCCGATTAATGATTCTCTCTCTAAGATCAATAAAAACATTTAAAAAAATAGAACTCGTAGACTTCATTAGCCATAATCTAGTCAGTGTATGTCACTCTTTAGAGCATACCATAGATGAAGCTAATTTACAATTTAGTTCAGTAAAGTCCCATGGTTTTCTTGATGTCTAGTGTTTTAGGCCAAAGTATACATACAATGGATACAAGACTAGCCTAGTATCAGGGATTAACCATCTTTGAAGAAAAAAAAGTACAGGGGTTCTAAAGATTCTTTTACAAGCTGGGAAATTAATTTCCTTTCCTTTGACCAACTTCCAAAATAGATATATAATATCTAATCTATCTGTATTACAGACCAGGGAGCACTAAAATTGATGTATTCCATAATGTCTATGTAGAAAGCCCCTCCTGTGCTATTTAAAACAGATAAAGCATATTGACAAAGCGTTATCCTGTAAGTTAAGGATTTAAACCCTCTACATGTTTAGTGATCAAAAGACAAATAACCCTTAATCAATAAAGAAAAAAAAAGAAATAGAAGAAAAAAAAGACAAATATTTAACTAAGGCAGTGATATACAAAGAATAATCTTGCTCAGACTAATTAGTTTTAAGGTTAAGGTGAGATGTGTTTAAGAAAGCACAACCAAGTTAAACCCTCTACCTTCAATGAAAATTTTGCCTATTTGACTAAAGAATAATTATAGCAAAAGCAAAAGATACCATTCATTAAATACATATCATTCTGTTAGGGATTTTATATGCATTCATTATCTTTTTAATCATCAAAACAATGCCTGTTTTGAGTAACAGTTAAATCAATATCACACTGATTAAGTGAGTCCAGATTTGAATTTTAGGCTCACACTGAAACCTGTGCTCTTTCCAATAAATATGCCATGAATCCTTTTGAATATTCCAGTGTTCTTAATAAATCGTAATTAAAATGCTGTACAAACAATAATCAGAATCCAAACTAAAATGGCTACTTCAACATAGTATTTTTAGCCTTGCTTAAAAAGAGCAGGCCTAAACTCCTACAGCTCAAAAAGAACAAAAATAGACAACTCAATTTAAAAAAGGGCAAAGGACTTAAATAGACAATTTTCCAAAGATATGCAAATGGCCAATAAGCACATGAAAACATACTCAACATCATCAGTCATTAGGAAAATGCAAATCAAAACCACAATGAAATACCACTTCACACCCACTAGGATGGCTATTACCAAAAATCATACAAACAAACAAACAGAAAATAACAAGGGTTGGTGAGGATGTTGAGAAATTACAACCTTCCTACATTGCTGTAGGGAATGCAAAATGGTGCAGCTGATGCGGAAAACAGTTGGATGGTTCTTTAAAAAAATTAAATGTAGCCCTAGCTAGTTTGGCTCAGTGGACAGAGCATCGGCCTGTGGACTAAAGGGTCCCAGGTTCGATTCCAGCCAAGGGCACATGGCTGGGTTGCAGGCTCGATCTCCCCCAAGTAGGGGGAGGGCAGGAGGTAGCCGATCAATGATTCTCTCTCATCATTGATGTTTCTATCTCTCTATCCCTCTCCCTTCCTCTCTGAAATCAATAAAAACATTTTTAAAAAATTAAATGTAGTATTACCATATCATCCAGTAATTCCACTCCTAGGTTTATACCAAAAAGAATTGAAAGCAGAGATTCAAGCAAATATTTGTACCCCAATTTTCATGAAGTATTCATAACAGACAAAATGTAGAAATAACCAGTGTCCATCAGCAGAAACATGAATAAACAAAATGTGGCATATTTATGTATGTGTATGTATGTATATATGTGTGTTATATTATTCAGCCTTAAAAAGGAACGAAATTCTGATACAGGCTACAACTTGAAAACTATGCTAACTGAAATAAGCCAGACACAAAAGGAGAAATACTGTATGATTTCATTTATAGGAGGTAACTAGAATAAGCAAATTCATAGAGCTAGAGAGTAGAAGAGAGATTACAAAGGGTTGAGGGAAAGAGGGAATGAACAGTTGTTTAATGGGTACAGAGTTTCTGTTGGGATGCTGAAAAAGTTCTGGAAAAAGATAGTGGTGACAGTTGTACAACAATGTGAATGTACTTAATGCCACTGAATTATAACGCACAAAAAGGACTAAAATGGTAAATCTTATGTTATATAAATTTTACCATCATGAAAACAAATATATACCTAGATATGGCCTGTTGGTACAAACACAAAGAATATTCTGTAATAAAGCTATAATTACACAGGCCTTACCTTAGTGGCTTTATGTATTCTCAGATAAGCAACACTAAATTTAGATAGAAAAATAATAAAAGTAGGTAACAGTCAATCAAATGTTGGTGGAAATAAATTCTATAAAGGACCTTTTTTAAAAACATATTTTTATTGATTTCAGAGAGGAATGGAGAGAGAGAGGAAGAAACATCAATGATGAGAGAAAATCATTGATCAGCTGCCTCCTGCATGCCCTCCCACTGGGGATTGAGCCCACAACCTGGGCATGGGCCCTGACCGGGAATTGAACCATGATCTCCTGGTTCATAGGTTGATGCTCAACCAGTGAGCCACACCAGCCATGGCAGGACCTGTCAACTTTATTAACCAAAATCAATAAGGAGGTAAAAATCAAATGACTAATCCTTCAATTTAAGTCAGCAACTGTCCAAAGCTCAAATGAAAGGGAAATATAAGCTAAAACTAAAAGGAGTTGTCCACAAGAAAAACAGAAATTGTGATACAAATAATCTAGAATACCAATTCTTGAATAAAAACAGCCCTATCAACTTTACCATCTATATATATAAAAGGCTAATAGGCTAAGTGTCCCTCCAACCATCCAACCAGTCGCTATGATGTGCACTGACCACCAGGGGGCAGACGCTCAACACAGGAGCTGTCATGATGCGCACTGGCCATTTACAAAGAAATGGCACGGAGGACCTGGCATCAACAAAGCAACACTCAGCTTCCCCCAAGTGGGACAGAAGCCCCACCACCACCCCAGAGCAACAGCCCACCAAATCGCAGCAAAACACTGCCAAGACCCCATGGTGCAAAATGTGGCCCCCAGCCCAGCTCAGACCGGAAACGGCTGCTGTGGGGGCCAGGTAATGACATCACGTAGCAACGCCCAGCTTCCTCTCCCTAGCGACTAGCCTCCTTGAAGTTTCTTCAGCCCAGGAAGATGACTTGCTTTATAGCCAGGTGCAAACATTTTACACTTTAACCAAATGTCTGTGAAGCGTTTTCCTCTGCCTCATTTCATTTGATCCTCACAGAAGTCCTGGAGTAGGTAGGTAGGAGACTTGGTAGAATCTTATTTTCTTTTCATTAGCTGGAAAATGGAGATTTAGAAAGTTTAGAAACTTGACCCGACTGAAAAGAAGTAAGAAATGGTGGACCTTGAAAATAACTTCAGGTTTTCTCACTGCACAGAATATAGTCAAAAAAACACTGCTGCAGTTAAATATTTTACCCTTTGTTTTCCCTGCATGATTTACAATAATAATCTGCTGTGTTGCTGACAATTACCTGAAAGAGAAGTTGGGGTGCTTCAGTGGGCTGGAAAAAGTTTAGCTAAATCAGAAAGCAGGTCTAATTAAGCAAGTTTAATATATATTTATATATGGCTAAGTTGACTGGCGCATGGGCGATACATATAAAGCTCTTGCTGGTGCCAATCACAAACGTGTGTTTTGATCTGTCATTGTCGATCGTGAATTTGGTTGACACTTTTATTATAGAGAAAGGGCAAATAGTGATATTAAAATATTTCTTCTAATTAGTTTCCTTTCAATGTGCATGAAATCCGTGCACCGGGCATAGGGTTAAATAAGGACATAGGGTTAAATTTAAAAAACCTGGTGAGTTGATGGTTACATTTTTAAAAAACTATCATTAAAAAACCATTTAAGTACTTACATGAAGGTGACCCACAGAAGCTCTCTACTTTTAATCAACTGTCAGAAGTAAGTTAATAGGGGAGGGGGAACCCACTGACTTAAACTGATGCTTCAAGGTGATGAAAGCTTGTCACAACACACACACACAACTCAAATTTTGCTTCAAGGAAAATTTAGCAGATGATACCCAAGTCTAAAATGGCAAACAAGATGCACTGATACACTTTACTAAAGACAGTATGGTTTGGGTTTGGCTTCCATGCAAAGGTCAGAAAATGACCGGGTGCAAGGTAAGAGAAAAATGCATCCATCAGTTATGTCATTTCACTACATCAGCACCCACCTTTCAGATTTGTTTTGACGAATACAACCTTCGATGATTTCTTTCACTTCAGGATCAGTGACTTTATTGAAACTGGCTGGTTTTATGCCCTGGGAGGAGAAAATGGTTTCTAGTTACAAATGAAGCAACTGAAAGCCCAAATCAACATGACTTTTATTACAATAATGGTTTTTACCCTAAACTATATTCAAGTTTTAAATGAGATAAATACATACATACAGTATGTCTTTAACAACTTTTTGACAGGGATTTTGTCCTAGTTCTACAGATAACAGTGAAGGTTGTAAATAATCTAAATCAACAATAATAGAACCAAAATTGCATATTATGTAATATATATGTGCCAATATTATGTAGAAATTAAAAATGTTCTCATGCCGAAACCGGTTTGGCTCAGTGGATAGAGCGTCGGCCTGCGGACTGAAAGGTCCCAGGTTCGATTCCGGTCAAGGGCATGTACCTGGGTTGCGGTCACATCCCCAGTAGGAGATGTGCAGGAGGCAGCTGATCGATGTTTCTCTCTCATCGATGTTTCTAACTCTCTATCTCTCTCCCTTCTTCTCTGTAAAAAATCAATAAAAATATATTTAAAAAAAATGTTCTCAAAGTAATTATTAACATGGGAAATTCTCATACTGTAACATTAAGTAAAAAAACAAGACCCCAAAATGTACAAACAGTACTACCCCAATTAGCAAAATATAATAAACAAATATTTTTTGAAATCAGAAAAAAATTCAATGTTATTAAAGAACACTTATGAAAATTCCTAAGAAGGACTGCTTTATTGCAAATATTCGAAATCAATATTATTTCAAAGTCTTCTAAAATGGCTAGGTGAAATAAACAATTAAAATGATGATTTGTTGGAGAAACTAGGTCATTTTTCCTATAGAACAGCGGTTCTCAACCTTTGGGTCGCAACCCCTTTGGGGGTCAAACAACCCTTTCACAGGGGTCGCCTGAGACCATCGGAAAACACATATATAATTATATATTGTTTTTGTAATTAATCACTATGCTTTAATTATGTTCAATGTGTAACAATGAAAATACAAAATACATCCTGCATATCAGATATTTACATTACGATTCATAACAGTAGCAAAATTACAGTTATGAAGTAGCAACGAAAATAATTTTATGCTTGGGGGTCACCACAACATGAGGAACTGTATTAAAGGGTCGCGGCATTAGGAAGGTTGAGAACCACTGCTATAGAATCTCCCATATTCTGGACATTGGCCTATTTCCTTTTTTTAATTGACTTTTTCAGAGAGAGGAAAGGAGTGAGAAACATTGATGTGAGAGAGAAACATCAATCAGTTGCCTCCTACACACACCCCAACTGGGGATTGATCTAGCAACCTGAGTATGTGCCCTGACCGGGAATGGAACCTACCACCTTTTGGTGTATGGAATGATGCTCAAACCAACTGAGCTACCTGCAGGGCTGGCCTTATTATTTATTGTCTACCTAACACAAACCTCTGAAGTCAGACTTAGGGTCAAAATCCATTAGTAGTAGCAATGTGAATGTGGATAAGTCACAATCTTTGATACTCAGTCTTATCATTTATAAACTGAAGATAGCACCATCTTGTAGAGATATAAAGATGAAGGCATGTGGCATACAGCATACATTTAAAAACAGCACCTATTAGCATTAGTTACTGGAAACAGTCTAACAATCGCCTTCCTGGCCTATCCTGAGTCACCTAATTGGATATGATGTAGATCTCTTTTGAACAATCCTAACACTTTGCTTCTACCGCCCTTATGTCCCTTACAATAAATACTCCCATGCTCTTATTTGTATAATTTGTGAATTTATATCACTCTCCTGCTAAAAATGTAAGCTCTTTGTGGGTAACAGACACTTCTTAAACATCTTTGCATTCCTTGCAATTTCTAAAAATTTATTCATAGTAAGAATCAAATACTGTATCTGTTGAACTATATTTTGAATGTCCTTTCTTAATCAGGCTTTTAGCACTAAAAGAGACCCTCAAAACTATTTAGCCAATCTTTATTATTCAGGTTTGGAAAATAAGAACCATCTAATAAGTATCTAAAAATTCTTTACAAACAAATAGATATTGATGATGTGTCTATGTTTTCCCAAGGATACTAATACAGAGCATTTTATATGACCCCAATAGAATATAGGTATACAACATATATCTAAAGCTTGTTTCGTTACAATTATATTTAATTTAGCACTGCTATACAGAACTAAACCAAAATTAGGTTTTACTCAGTTTACTTAAACCAACTTCAACATGAAATATGGCAGTTTGTGAAGTAAAAAGAATAAAGTTATACCTACACTAGTTACTTTACGGTATATTTGAGCTGCATTTTGGCACTCAGAATAAGGGTACTCCGAAGTAGCCATTTCCAGCATACACATTCCAAAAGCATAGACATCTACTGATTCATCATAGTGCTCTTCATACATCTCTGGGGCCATAAACTCAGGAGTCCCTACAAGGTAATACCACAACCACACTTTTATTAAAAAGAAAAATGTATTCACAAAATTTACTTTCCCTTTTCCATAAGAATTACTTGAGTTAATCTGTGCTTCCTAAAAGAAATTTATAAATATAAAATTTGTTGAATACTTGCTATATCTATATAAAGCACTTAAAGAATTTCATTAACTTTCTGTTCTGATAAAGTACAATCTGTAATGCTCAAGATTAGGTCAGGATCACTAAAATTTGTTTTTATTTCTATCCTTTTTAGTTATTGAAATTTTTCATAATTAAATTAGTAAATTAGCTTTTTAAAGTCCTTAGAAACTTTCAATAATTTAAAATATACCCCACAAAAGAAATACACTAGGATATCTCAAAAATAAGGCAAGATATAATATTTCAAAGCAAATTCACATACTAGGCCAGAGGTCAGCAAACTTCTCCAATGAGACACAAATGGTAAATATTTCAGGCTCTGCCATCATATGGTCTCTGTCACAACTACTTAACGCTGCCATTGTAGTACAAAAGCAGCCACCGACAATACACAAACAAGTGGGTATAGCTGTGCTCCAATAAAGCTTTATTTATAAAAATAGGCAGCAGGGCCAAATTTGGCCCATGGGCTGTAGTTTGCTGCTCCCTGTTCTAGACAAATACAATCAACAACTCTCTATACCCAACCAATCAACTATAAAATGTTAATCACCAATGACACTCTTAGCAAATGATGTGCGCATTAAGGTAGCGAGGCCTAGATCACCAATCTTCACAGATCCAGTAGGTCCTGTGATGAAAATATTGTCACACTTGAGATCCCGGTGAATAATAGGAGGAGTCCTAGTGTGCAAGAACTGCAACCCCTTTAAAATTTGCCTGCACCAGCTCCTCAGGACCTTTGGTTTCATGACTTTAAATCGTTTTAAGTACCTATATAAAGAAACAAAAGACCACATGTTAATAAACATACCTAACTTACTATATGAGCAGTATTAAGGTAAATCACGTAAGCTAGCTGATATTGTATGTGCCATACTACTATTACCATCACTAAGTTGTTGGGGTTTTTTATTTGTTTCTTTTAAATATGTATTTTTTTATTTCAGAGAGTAAAGGATAGGAAGAGAGATAGAATCATCAATGATGAGAGAGAATCATTGATTGGCTGCCTCCTGCATGGAGATTGAGCCCGAAACCCAGGCATGTGCCCTGCCTGGGAATCAAACCGTGACCTCCTGCATTCATAGGTCAATGCTCAACCACTGAGCCATGCTGGCTGGGCATTAAGTTGTTTTTTATTGCCTGTTATGGCAAGAAAATTTTATGAAGAAAATTCTAAATCTAAGGCCTCATTCTTAGAAAAGACATCCTACCAAGTTTAGTATTTTGAATTCAAAACAAGAATCATTCCAATTAGAGTGGCCTTTTGTGAAATGGCAGCACAATTTTAAAAAGAAAGTCCGTCTCACCCTAGCTGGTTTGGCTCAGTGGATAAAGCTTTGGCCTGCAGACTGAAGGGTCCCAGGTTTGATTCCGGTCAAGGGCACATGCCAGGGTTGCGGGCTCGATCCCCAGTATGGGGTGTGCAGGAGGCAGCCGATCAATGATTCTCATCATTGATGTTTCTATCTCTCTCTCCCTCTCCCTTCCTCTCTAAAATCAATAAAAATATATATTTTTTAAAAAGACCGCCTCTACTTCTTAATAACTGCTTATATAGATCACTAGAGGCTTTAACTATGTAAAATTTTAGTGTAAGGATGTTAGGAAACAGAAAGTGTGCCCCACATTTAATAGCTACAGATAAGTGATTAATCCATCAAATGAAAAACTAGTCAGAAACAAAGCAATGGACTATAATCACATAGTATATAGCTCACTAGCTATGTGAACCTGACCACACCCCCAACTTTTCAGTATCTTTTACACAACAACATTATATTATCTCTATGATTTCTAATTCTAAACTCCTATGCTATCCCACAAATAATAATTTCACAACACTGTATTTTCTAACAAAATTCATTAACATCATAATTTTTAAAATGCTCTGAAACATAGTCTCTAGATTCAGATTCTACAAATTCTTTAATCAATTACTGTTATTTTACAAGCAACTTTTATGACACTGAAAATTATTTCCAAAAAGAACTCCATTAACACTATCAGGGTCAACTTACGTCTTTAATGTTCCTGATGTCATAAGTTCAGTCACCAATACAATGCATTTCTTTCCTTTCAATGTAGACTCCCAGGAATCATAAAATCGAACTATATTGGGATGTTGGAGACCCTTTAACATCTCTGCTTCTTCTTTAAATCTTTGCTGCTCAGCTTTGGTTAATTTCCGATCCTGAATGAAGAAACAAATTCCAAATTAAAGCGTAGAAATTCTCATGCATATTTCTAATACCACTCAAATGAGTGCTTCACTTTATTGTACTTATTTATATATGTATTTATTTTTGCCTGACAATTCTTTTCTATATAATCACTGACGGATATCCCTTGTTAGTGATTTTGACTCCTGCCATACAGCAATGCAACAGTTGCTACATTTCATAACTGTTATAAACCCACCTGTATAATAAACCAACACCTTGAAAAACATATCTTGGAAGTTAACTTTTTATGGTAATCATTTTGTAATATATACATACTAGAGGCCCAGTGCACAAAAATTTGTGCACTCGGGGGGGTCCCTCAGCCCGGCCTATGCCCACTTGCAGTCTGGGACCCCTCAGAGGATGTCCACCTGCTGGCTTAGGCCCGCTCCCTGGGGGAACAGGCCCCAAGCTGGCAGTCAGACATCCCTCTGGCAGCCCAGCAGCCCTCGGGGGATGTCCACTTACCAGCAGGGAGCAGACCAAAGCTGCAGCCGGACATCCTTAGTGCTGCTGAGGAGGCGGGAGAGGCTCCCACCACCACCGCTGTGCTGGCAGCCATCAGCTTGGCTTGTGGCTGAGCAGAGCTCCCCCTGTGGGAGTGCACTGACCACCAGGGGACAGCTCCTGCATTGAGCATCTGCCCCTTAGTGGTCAGTGTGTGTCATAGTGACCAGTCATTCCCAGTCGTTCTGCTGTTAGGGTCAATTTGCATATTACCTTTTAATTATATAGGATAGAGGCCTGGTGCACAGGTGGGGGCCGGCTGGTTTGCCCTGAAGGGTGTCCCGGATCAGGGTGGGGGTCCTGCTGGGGTACCTGGCCAGCCTGGGTGAGGGGCTGAGGGACGTTTTCAGGCTGGCCAAGCCCCCCAGCGACGGAAGCTCCCAACCTCTCCTTTTTTTCTTTTCTTTTTTAATTCTGGGATTTATTTACCTTCTATAATTGAAACTTTGTAGCTTTGAGTGGAGCTCAGAGCTGGCCAGTGCAGGCGGGAAGCTTGGCTTCCTCCATTGCCAGGGGCAATCCAAGCCTCCTGCTCGCTCCAGCTCCGTGGCCACTGCCAGCTGAAAGCAGGTATCTGGGGTTTATTTATCTTCTATAATTGAAATTTTGTTGCCTTGAGTGGAGCTTAGAGCCGCCGCAGCAGGCAGGAAGCTTGGCTTCCTCCATCACTGGGGCAACCAAGCCTCCTGCTTGCTCCAGCTCCGTGGCTGCTGGCCGCCATCTTGGTTGCGTTAATTTGCATAGTCACTCTGATTGGCTGGTGGTCGTGGCTTAAGGCGTAGCAAAGGTATGGTCAATTTGCATGTTTGTCTTTTATTAGTGTAGACATCAAATCGTTGTACACCTTAAACTTACACATTGTTATGTCACTTACATCTCAATAAAACTAGAAAAATAAATAAAATGACTGTTGCTGCAAAAGAAATAAGGAAATCCTGCCATTTGTAACAATATGGATAGATCTTGAAGGCATGCTAAGTGAGATTAGTCAGACAGACATAGACAAATACTATACGAGTTCCTTAAATATTTTTTTAAAATATATTTTATTGATTTTTTTACAGAGAGAACGGGAGAGGGATAGAGAGTTAGAAACATCAATGAGAGAGAAACATAGATCAGCTGCTTCCTGCACACTCCCTACTGGGTATGTGCCCGCAACCAAGGTACATACCGTTGACCGGAATCGAACCTACGACCCTTGAGTCCGCAGGCCGACGCTCTATCCACTGAGCCAAACCGGTTAGGGCTTCCTTAAATATTTTTTTAAATAAAGTTGGTAAGAGACTAAATCTTAACTGTTGTCAACATAATCTATAATAATAAAAGTGTAATATGGTAATTAGACCAGACATCCTTCTGGATGACCTTCTGGATGAAGCCGGGGATTCGAGGTGCCTGCCAGTGGCTGAAGGGAAGCCTAGGTCCCGGGTACCAGAGGGAAGCCGGTGCCAGCAGCCGGGGGAAGGAAGGCCTACTGTTGCACAAATTTCGTGCATTGGGCCTCTAGTAAAATGATAATTATGTAACATGATGGAGGTACTAGCTAATGCTATGGTGGCAATCATACTAAAATAGATAAATGTATCACTTCAATACACTGTACACTTTAAGCTTATTACATGTCAATATTATATTTCAATTGTATTTCTGTAAAAAGGGCTTAAAAAGAGTTAAGGAACTCAAAGAACAAAAGTAAGAAATGTTAAACTTAGAAGATATCTAAAAACAAGTGTTTATGATTTTCTGTCTAACCCAAGATGACGAATAAGTCCTAAATGTCCCTGTAATTAGCTAGAAGTCTTTCCATTGTGATAGGTCAGCAGATCTGCTCTGAAGAATAATGAATAAATTTTGATGCCCTCTGATGAAATTAGCAAGCACAAGTCATGTGCCAAGATAAGCTACATACTTCACTTTATCCTTTGATCCTATGGATTAAAAGTAGTCAGCATTCAGAGTAAACAACTTTACAAAGTTATAACTGCTGTCTCAGACATATTGCTAAAGGTAAAATTCCACTAAAAAAGTATGGCCAAACCCTGGCCAGTGTAGCTCAGTTGGTTGGGCATCCTCCCATGCAAGGAGAGGTTGCCAGTTCGATTTCCAGTCATGGCATGTGCCCGGGTTATGGGCTTGATCCTAGGTAGGGGGTGTTCATTTTCTGCCCCTACATCGATGTTTCTCTCTCTGTGTCTCCCTTCCTGTCTCTAAAAATCAATTTTAAAATCTTTTAAAAAAAGGTATGGCCAAGGTCTTCAAAGGTCCATTCTAATTCAGAGTCGAAAGTAAACCTGTCCAATTTGCACCCAAATCCAGAGGAGAGCTTTCAGCTACTATAATTATTCTCCTTTAAACACACACACACACACACACACACACACACACACACACTATTGTATTAATCAGTAACTTTCACACCTTGCCAATTAGAGTTCTTACACAAGAAAGGAATGATGACCCACAAATGGCAAACTAGAGATCACTGATAGATAATGGAGTTGACATAGTCAGAAGCCAGGAAAATTACAGTCTACAAAAATGATCCTTTAATCTTACTGTCTCTAGGTAAGGTCACCTCGCCCAAAAGCATCAAATAACAATGTTTTAGTGTTATAGATATTAATTTATATGGCTGATAAATATAATAAGAGGTCAAATACAAATTCACCGAATAGATTTCAACTACTCCAACACTACTTTAAAAAGAATTACTGTCCTTCTATGAATGTTAACTAAACACTTAATCTATCATAATATATGGCATGCTTAAAATGTACACAAAACCTTTCCTGAGGCAAGGCACAATACCAATATGAGTAACCTGCATATGTATTTACTCAAGATAAGAAGCATTTCATTTCCAAAAGGTAAACTCTGGCCTTATCAGCTATGTCTCTTAATGCAAACACCAACAATGAAGTACAGAACCAGGTCAGAGGGTACATGGATCTGTTTCTGCAAACGCGAGGAGGAAGAAATCAACAGATCTTAAAAACTATACTATAAAAGAATTTGTTCAAGTAAGGATGAACACTATGAAGGCTTCAAAACACTGCTCACTTGCCCTGACCAGTTTGGCTCAGTGGATAGAGCGTTGGCCTGCAGACTGAAGGGTCCCAGGTTCGATTCCGGTCAAGGGCATGTACCTGGGTTGCGGGCACATCCCCAGTAGGGAGTGTGCAGGAAGCAGCTAAATCGATGTTTCTCTCTCATCGATGTTTCTAATTCTCTATCCCTCTCCTTCTCCCTTCCTCTCTGTAAAAAAATCAATAAAATATATTAAAAACAAAAACATAAAAACACTGCTCACTTTACAAAGTAGTCTATCAATGACTAGCCTGGAACATTGCTCAGTATTTTATCACTATCATTTAATGAACACTCAGATATGTATCACATGCTTTATAAGATTATCTCTAACCTTCAAGATTTTGTTTCTCAAGCCGAGTAGTAAGTACACAAGCTCCATTGTGTTATTCTTTATTATTTTTGTGTATCAGAAATATTCATTATTTTTAAGTGAAAAACTAAGGCTTCAAAATGTTAAGTAGCTTAGCTTGCCCAGGGTACCTAACAGGAACAGGCAACATTGGAACCAGGTCTGCCATATTCTGAAACCCAAGCACTTTCCAGGTCATCACTCTGCCCCTCAGAAACAATATTCACAGCAATGACTGCAGATACCTCACTCCCAAGCCACTTTCCATGGAGAGACGGAGCAGTACCCCAGAACTACAGCAAAATGAAATAAACACGCACAAGGGCAATGGCAATTTGTAAATGGTAACGCCAAAGAATTAATCAAGAAATCAGCATATAATAGAGTCTGGCTATATATGAGAAAAGGAAAGTATCTTAATAACTTAAGATATAATAAAATTCCTCAACCACAAATTCCCCAATTTGGGGGGTTTTCAGAAATTCAAGTCATATTTAGGAAGAGACCACATAAAACTAAGAGGTAATTCCAATTAATAAATGTAAAAGGAATGTGGAAAATAGAAAATCAGCATTATAACACCACAGTAATACTCACTAGAGGGAAAATACACCAATGAGTGCCAAAACAATGCAGGAAAGTTTGAGGAGAAACAGATCTCTGCATAGTCTCAAAGTATCTACCCCCAAGATATTAATATAAAAATATGTATTTAATAGTATAAAAAACCTATCATATGCTACCCTACCCAAGTGATCAAGGTTATCATCACCAGTAACCCAAGTCGACATCATATACCCCTTACTATAATGCAGAGAATGGCATTACCACTCTTGTGGTATCCATGCCAAAATTCATAGCCTGTATCTATCTAATCATGAGAAACCATAAGACAAACCCAAATTAAGGGACATTCTACAAAATAACTGAACAATACTCTTCAAAAGCTCAAGATCATGAAACACAAGGAAAGACTAAAGAACTACTACATCTTGGAAGAGACTAAGGAGACATAACTAA